GGCGCGGCGGCTGGTCGGAGCGGCGGCGGGCGGCTGTGGGGAGGGCAGCCCAACGGCCTGGTTTGAGGGCGAAATGGCGCTGGTGAGGGGGGCGAGGGGCGAGGGGCATCACGCCCGGCCGGGCCGAGGGCTGGCGCGCTCCCGACCCGATCGGTTGGCCTCGCGCGGCGGGCCCGTCGCTGTCACGAGGCCGCGTGGCGTGGCGCTGCAGCTGTCGCCGCTGCCGCCCGCAATTGCCACTGGCAGCAACCTCGCGTCGCGATGGATGATCTGCGATCCACCCCCCCGAATTCCGTGATCTTGATGATGCCCTTCTCAGGCGGTGGAAGACGAGGAGCTGTGCCTGCAGCGCGCCCAGCAGCTGCTCGCCGACATGCGCGCCGCCGGCGTGCCCCCCTCCCAGCAGCTTCTCCGCAGCTACCTCCAGTGCGCGTTCTACGGCGGGGGGGACCCCTGGGAGGCGGAGCAGGAGGCGCGCGCGATGTGCGGGGATGGCGGCTTCGAGGCTGGCGGCGCCGCGGCGCGGCTGCTGTCGATGATTGAGGTCGCCTGGCAGCAGCTCCACGCGGGCGATGACGTCATCGCGTGCTGACTGTGCACATGCCAGCCGTCGGCTGCCTTGGCTGCGGGGGCGGCGCCGCGGGGTCCGGGGGGTCGGGTGGCCGGGCTGAGTGGGGTTCTGAATCTGGGAGGGCTGCAGAGTTGCGTTTTGGGAGCCGCGTGCATTGACGCGAGGGATTTGGGCGTTTGCATGGTTGACGTGCATTGCGATCTGTTGAGGTGCAATTCGCCGTTTACGACCGCTCCAGTGTTGCTGTATCCACTGACCGACCTGCTCTTGCTGCGCCTGGGTGCGCCATGCACGTGCGCACTCAGCGCGCTCGGCGCACGACAGACGGGCTGGTTTGGGACACTCCGATGTCCCCTGCGGCGCCTGGGCAACCGCCAGCGCCGCCCGCGTGTGGGGGTGTCGACAGTCGTGCGCGGTTTCTCTCATCCTCCATTCCGCCGCCTGTCGTTGTGACACCCGACATGTTTGCTGGGTTTGTGTGTTTTTGCTGGGTCAAGCTTCTCTCGTGATCCGGTTCTGACAAGCATGTTTTCCTATTGGAGTCATTTTTTGGCTCCAAACGCGCCTGTCGGCGCAGGTATGTAACCATTCACCCGTTTGTATGCGTCGTGCGCCACTCCAACGAGCAGCTCGAAGCAGCGTCTAACGCCCGATGCACCGCTGCTGCTTGCACCGCGCCGGCCTGCATGTGGGTGAGGGCTGAGCTGAGTCGCGGCTTCGAGCCGCACCAAAACGCGGGCCGGCACCGGCACTCAGCTGTCGAGGCGGGCTCGCAGGCGGGACAGATGGCGGTGTTACAAGTGTCGGGGGTCAAGCTTTTGGCCGTTTGATGGTACAGCGATCGGTCGCAACGCACGCCCAGCCCTGCTTGCCACGACGGCTGCCAAGGGAACGCGCGCGTGGGG